TGGAAAAAAAAACGTACTCATTTTAGAGATATTTGAGAGAACTCCCTTTTATAATATAAAATTATTTTCCGTTTCTATATGTAAAAGTTTTTTTTATGCATAATTGAATATTATATAAAAAGAAAATATATTTTATTCTAATATTATAAATATGAACTGAAAAGAATAATTAGTATCTTTTCACGTACTACTATAATATATCAAAACCTATTTAAATATATACTAATATTTTAAAAAATACTAAATAAAATTCAGCTAATGATCAGTTTATTATTGTTTTGGATCTTTTTAGTCACTTGTTACCGGGTCAATTATATGCAGCTCTTTGAGCTCATGCATTTGTGTTCTTAGTAATAGGTATATGGATTTAGTTGTTCTGAAGATGATATATATAAAAATTGATTTATCTTAAACAGTTTTCTAAACCCTTTAACAAAAAAATAAAAAGAAATATTTTTAAAAATAGATTAAATGATAAGTTTTGGTACGATAAGTCGATAAGTAAACCATAATTTTTATTAAAAGGCTGCTATTTCACCATCTATAATGCCCATTGGGTTTTTATTTTAATGATTACTGGTGCAAAATGTTTCCCAACAATTAATGCAAGTGGTGTTCTAACTTGCAACTGATGCCAAACAAAAAAGAAAAATTCATATTTAGAATGTATTTCCCAACAATTGATGGGCAAATAAACCGAAAACCTAACTGAAGCAAATCGAAATAGATGATTTGGTTTGATTATGGTTAACTCTAATAATCCAGTTGGTTTCATTTTAATTAAGTTTTAGGTTTATGTTTGCTTTGGTCAAAAACTGTAAACCAAATGGTTTTTTTGGTTTTTTATAAAGTTTTAGAATAATTATAATTTTTCTAATTTTTTAATAACTTTATAAGTTTAAGGTATATAAACAGTTTCATTACAATTTTTTTGTTAGGCTAATAGTTATTCAATTTCTATTTTAGTCATGAAAGAAAACTTTATTGAATTCCAGAACCCTAGTCATAAAAAAAAAAAGAGAAATTCCCTAAGATGCCATCATTTTAGTTTTTCTTCCAAAAATACCACAATTTTTTTTTCCAAAAATACAACAAAAATTTTCTTTTTCCAAAATACCATAAACATAAAAGTTGATTTTTTAAGGTGTAGATTTTTTTTTTAATGTTTGGGTTGACTATTTATATTTAGGGTATAGTTTTTAGGGGTATTGTTAGTGTTTAGGATTTAGAAATTATTTTTGAATGCTTAAAAAAATTAGTTTTAGTTTTGTGGTATTTTTAGAAAAATGTATTTTAATGGTATTTTTAGAAAATAAAACTTATAATGGTATTTTTGGAAATACCTATTTTCATGGTATTTAAGAGAATTCCCCTAAAAAAAGAACATATTCAATAGTTTCACTTTTAAATTAATGATTTGGGTTTACAAAACTATATATGGATTCAATCATTTAGAATTATGTTTAAGTTTTATGGTTATTTTTAATTTATGTATCAACTGTTAAAAACCGAAACCAAACTGAAACCAAAACTGAATCATAATATATATGATTTTATATGTTTTCATTTTTTAAAAACAGAAAAAACCATAAACCGTAACCAAACATAAATTAATGCAAACAGTTTTTATATGGTACCAGTTTCGTAAAACCAAAAAAGCCGTAAACCAAAAGAACTGAAAGCCTACAAAGTGATGCAAGTGGTGTTCTACTTTGTAACTGATGCAAAAAAAAAAAGAAATATATCATATCAAAATGCAAAATTACTTTGATATGAAAAAATCACATATCTATTTAGTATCATTTTCAAAATCGAGAAGACCAAGAAAAATAATCAAATGCAAAAGCCGAAAGCGTTGGCTGTGATTGAGGAAACAATTTGTTGTTGTCTTTGTTTATTTTTTTACTTAAAACGATTCAAAATTTGTCAAAAAGAAAAAAGTCATTTGTTTTGTGTTGTACTAGGGATTACCAAATCGACTTTTAAGATTACAAATCAAATAATCGATGTTAATATCTTAAATTGGTTTGAAAGCGATACAAATGTTAAATTTAATGTCATTTCTAGAATTTAAAGTTAACATTAAACATAAAACATTCATTATTCTCCTTTCACCTTTATTTGGAATTATTTTAATATATTATATTAAAATATATAATATAAATATAGAATAAAAATTCATCTTTTTTTTAATATATTGCAATTTGAAATTTTCAAAACGGATATATATATTACTACATTGATAAAGAAAATATTATTATAAACTTAAGTTCTTATTAAAATAAAGTTTGGATATCTAAATGGGTTAGTTAAATATATTCGTTAAATTTAAGCGGGTTGGTTAAATATTTTCATGAAATTTTATAGAGAATTTTTGAGAAATACCCATTTTGGTGTACCCCTTTTTAAAAATACCCCTCTTTTATATCCATTTTCAAATATACCCCTTTTCGAATATGAAAAATTATAAACTTTTATATGGTTGATAAGGTACATCAAGATCATCATTACTGCTGGGAGATTAAATCTAAATATTTTTAAGGTTTTAAAAGGTTTTAAACGGCATTTATAAGGTTTTTAAAAGGTTTACACAGTTTTTATAAGGGGTTTAAATGATTTTTAAAAGGTTTTTAAAAGGTATTTATACGGTATTTATGAAATATATATATAAATTTACACACATATAGAGATAATTTGTGGCTATAAATATAAGCTTACACATATGTTTTTGATAAATTTCAAATTTTATAGTGACTTTTTGATAAATTTAGAAAGAGGGGTATTTTTAAAAAGTGGTATTGGAAAATGGGTATTTTTGAAATTCCCCCAATTTTATATCATACTCAATTGATAGAAAAATGAGTAAGACATACTTTGGTTAAATATTTTAGAAAATGGTTTTAAATCATTATAAACATGACCAGTATGCTTCTAACTATGAATGAGCATGACGTTTAACTTATCAAGCTTTCAATTTTAAAATTTTTGTTTGGAATAGTAAAGTTATTTATTTGAGCATATAAATTTCTTTAAAGTTTCAAAAAATTATAAATTTTAAATGTTTTAAAAGTTTAAAATATTTTAATATTGAAACCTTTAAAATATTCAAATATACAAAAATTATAGAATATTTAAAATATTAGAAACGGGTCAGAACATGTTTTACACCACTTAAATTTTATAATTCAATACTTTTTATTCCAAAAATAAATTATATGCAAAATTGTATTGTACGGGTCTTAAAGAACAAAACTAAATCAACTTTAACAATGGTACATACAAAGTCTTACTGACAAAATATACTATTCAAATATTGATTAAATTGAATTTATAACATGAGTAATTTTTACTGATAAACTATATAATATATCAAACTATATAAACCACAGGTAATTCACAAGTTATTTTGTTAAAATCACAATTATATAGTAGAGCGAGTAATCAATAATACATTTACGAATACAATCCGTTACAGATTGGTCATTCAAAACATATATTCGTTACAGACATGTATAATTCACCAAAATCAACTTTATTTACTTAACACAACTTTATGCACTAACCAAACTCGCTACTGTTTTTGGATAATATTCAATACAAACGTATTAGAAAAATTAGTTACAAAATAACACAATCAAAATTTAAAAATGATATATTTGTAAAGAAAACAAATCTTTTAATACATTTGTATCATTTAGTAAATTAAAACATATGAACAATAGTCCAATAATTTTTCTCCGCCTTACAACACGGATTCAATTCTAGTAGAAACTAGAAAGTAGAAAGTAAAGAATCAGCCAGGGGTAAAAGAGTTAGAAATAGTGGTGTTTGTATATATTATGGTACCTTTTACTCTAGCGTGCCTAATTCCGAGTCTCTCTCCTAAAATGTGCCTGTTTTTATAAATCTTTATTTTCTCTTTTTCTTCTTATTCAATAGAAAAGCTTATGAGTCCAAATATTATAATTATTTCGTGTTTAATAAGAAAAGAGCTGAAAAAATTGACAAAGTCGAGAAGACGAAGAAAAAAAAATCAAATGCAAAAGCCGAAAAGCGTTGGCTGTGATTGAGGAAACAATTTGTTGTTGTCTTTGTTTATTTTTTTACATAAACGATTCAAAATTTGTCAAAAAAAAAATAAAGTCATTGTTTTGTGTTGTAGGGATTACCAAATCGACTTTTAAGATTACAAATCAAATAATCGATGTTAATATCTTAAATTGGTTTGAAAGCGATGCAAATGTTAAATTTAATGTCATTTCTAAAATTTTAAAGTTAACGTTATATTTAACGTCGTTTCTATTTTGTGATACTAATTAGATATTTGACATCATTTTCACAAAGCAATGAATTAAAATAAAAATAAAAATGATGCTACCTTAAACGATGCTAAAACTAGAAATAAACGATGCGAAAACTAAAAAATAAACGATGCTGAATTTAAAAATAAAATGATGCTACGTTAAACGATGAGATATTAAAAATCATCATTGCTTTTCTTCTCATTCGTCAACACGTTTAGTAGTGTAATTTAATAATTGTTGTAGCATTTGTAATTAAGTAATCGAAAAGCATCAATCAATTTGTATCAACAAAAAAAGGCAAAGCACCAAGCTCTTCACAACGGCGACCATCTTCTTCTCTGCCAATCGGAGAAAGATCGTCTTGTGAGAAGGTTATGATACCTAATTAATTTCCTCTTTTATTTTAACTTTGGATTTCGATTTTAATGGGTTTATTACTTGATTTCTGAGTGTATGTACATATTTTCATGTTGAAGATACACAATATGCTCTTTTGTTTTTTTTGGGCAAACCACATTATGCTCAAGGGAACCAATTCTTTAATCTGTTGAGTCAGATTGATGATGAATTACTGATAGTATTCTTGGGTTGGAGGTGAATTTAAATTAGTTAAACAATGTTTTCTTTTGTATAAATTTTATGCATTGTTATAACTAAATTAAAAGAACACTATGTTTTGGCTTGCTCTATATTTAGATGGATACCAATTCGGTTCCCGAAGATTTCTGGCTTTCAATATTTTGTCTCAAGCTAAATTCTCGCGACAAACATACACATGAGCGTGAGCGAGGAGATCAGTCGGAGGTTAATTTTACAGGTAAGTAGAAACACATTGTTCTTGAATACTACAAAAGCGCTATTAAGAGTTAACAATAATGTTATTTTCCTTGCATATATGCAGATTTCTTTCCTGGTAATTTAGAATTCAATTTATGTGCTGGAACTTCTGATCCCAAGAAACATCTTGAGAGTAATATATCTACTTCTTACTGTTTAAACAACTATAGAAAGTAAGAGTTCACCACAATGTTTTTACTTTGCAGATTCAAATGAAAGGTTAACAGGAAAACATCTTACTCTCAGCCACACTTCATTGGTATATGAATGATCTTTTAAATCTTAACTTTTAGCTAGTTAGAGATAATTTCAATGATGATGGCGTTGTAGTTAGTTGACAACTTGGGAGTTTAGTAGATATGTGTGTCTTTATTTGGGGTATTAATCCTATATTCAATTGGATTTCCAAAATTATCATCTTGGGTATACCATGCATTATGGAGTATGTCTGAAAATGATTATGATAATGATACAACATCAGAGGTGAGATTTATTTGTTGAATAATTTTTTTTTTTTTATATATGCTTAAATTAAGTTTTTTTTTTTATGTTGTATTGTTACAAAATTAAAAGACTAACATTATAACAATCATTCATTACCAATGTTAGTTAGAGATATTTTTGATGATGATGAAATTGTTTTTAGTTGAAAACTTGAGAGTTCAATAGATATATGTGAACGTGATCGTAAGTTAGTTTTCATGGAAAAAAAAACTAATCATGTGTTTATATTATGTTTATTCATTTTCAGATTTCAAGTTCAGATCAGCTTTCTCTAGAGGTGAATTTCATTAGTTGAATAATTTTTTTATATATGCTTTTATTAAGTTTTTATATTGTATTGTTACAAATTAAAAAGACTAACATTTTGGGTTATAAATATTTAGATGTATAAAGATCCGGCTTCGAATTTACGTGGTAGAACATCTGAAACCAAGGAGCATCTTGAGAGTAGTATACATTCTTCTGAAGACAAACTTACACTAGGACGTGAGCAAGGAAAGTGGGTGGTTGAAGTTATAGGTAAGTAGATAAACATTGTTGTTGAAGACTATATAAGAAGTAAGCATTCACAACGATGTATTTTTTCCTTGCAGATTCAGATGGAATGCCAACAGAAAAACATCTTACTATAAAAGATATTAAGAAAGATACAGACTATAAAATCGTTCTCGAGTTTGGTCCATATAATGAACCGGAAGGAGGAAGTGGAGGTTTATTTGGTATGTGGCTTGGCAAGTTATGTAGTGATCATCCATTTGGCCTAACTTATCGGGACTGGAGGAATGTAGAGAAACAAAAAAAGGATCATGTTTGGAAGGTCATTCAGGTACATGATATGAGCTTGAGCTTTGGCAACTGATCTAGTATAGTAAGTCGTAGTGAAACCTTAGAATAGAGATGTATTTAGCTAAAGACTATAGAGAATTAGGTTAATTTTTGTAGCTTAATTATTATTGATGATTTTGAGAGTCTGAGGCCATCTCCAACCCCATTCTATTTTAGAATCAAAATTTTATTTTAGAGTAACATTTGCTCCAACCCTACTCTATATCTTTCTCTAGAGATAGTGTAAAAAAATAGAGTAGAGAATAGAATAATTTACTCTATTTTAGAGCAAGATATAGAGTAATACATTGGAGTAAAACAGTGCTCTATTTTAGAGGAAAAAATAGAGATAGACATTAGAGATGGTCTTATATAGACTCTTACAAATCGACTTAAGCATTGTGAAATAAGTATATCTAAATCTCTTAGTTTAGAATAAAAAGGAAATACTTAAAAGAACGACTAAGAAGCTTCTCAACTATGATGCTTTTTAACGATTCTTGATGACATATCTTTTATCAGTACAGTGATCATAATATACATATATATTGTATGTGCAGTTATTAACTCTTAATCTTTCTGTTTACATGTGTATGTATAGGATAAGTTTGATTTTGATGCTTCAAATGAGGAGTATAAGAAGTCTGTGATGAAAAGTTTGTGCGCAAAGGCCAAACATTATAAGAATAAGTTGTGGCGTGACTGGCTTGTAAACAAGGAACGTCCAAAAAACATTTCAGAACAAGAGTGGCAAGTTTTTGTCAGTTTACAGTCTACTGAAAAAACTGAGGTAACATCAAAACTCAAAAGAGTATATTGTTTTTTAACTTGATATATTTTTGGTGAGTTTCTCACTTATTGCATATATTTTCAGAAATTGAGAGAGAGAAATAAGAAAAGTAGGAGCCATTACAAGACACCACATAAGTTAGGTACAAAAAGCATTGCTCGAAAGGCTAACGAACTTGTAAGTTTCTTTTGAAATATGTAAAAAAATTATTATGACTTCTTCAAAGCTGATTAGCAAAACTTTTCCAGTTTGATAAGACGGGTGAAGTTCCAAGTCGTACAGAGATTATGAATTGCTCACACCAAGAAGCCAATGGAAACTTTGTTAGCGAGGAAGATCCAGATAAATCCGTTAGATTCTCATTCTATTATTTGTAATTCTCTAGGCAATTAATGATTTTATTTTATAATATCTAATTATAAGTAACTACTTCTTCTTAAATTAAATGTAGGTTACAGTTAAGAAAAGGAAAAAGATGGTAGGGGTGGAATCTATCAGGAATGTCCCTATTGCTTCCTCGAGTGCCCCGCATCAAAATCCCAAGGATGATCCGGCCATGTTACTAACTGCATTGCAACAAGCTAACGATAAAATTGCGGCTTTAGAGGAGAGTCAAGCGGCGTATAAGCAGAAGATGCAGGCGGACAGTGAATACTATGAGCATTTATTCAGTGTCATTGCTGAACGCGACCCCAGTGTAGAGGAGGCTTTAAAGGAAAAGCGACGACAACAAAATCTTCAACAAGCCGACAACTAGCC